AATCTGCAAGGAGTGACAACGAACGATTTGCAGCACTTCTTTTGGTGACGCAACTCGTAAACTCAAACAGCTTGGATAGTGCAGGGCGACGAAGCCTTTTCCATGCGGTCGGCTTTAATTTCGTCAACAGGCTGTTGAACTCGAGTAAAGTACCGGATGACTGTCCACAAGACGTTTATCGCTCGCTGGCTCTAACCATTCTAGCCTGTTTTGCAACTGACGATGAATTTCTCGTGCATCCAGAAATGCTGGCGAAGATTCCTCAATTTCTGGCAGGCTTCTCGGACGAAGAAGAGAACGTAAACATTGTGAACGATTGTTATCAGATTCTCTCCGCTCTCACTGCAACGTCCGTAGGATGTAGTCATCTGGGGAGAAAAGATGTTTTTACAAATCTTAGCCGTATCGCAAGTTGTGGAACAAACCAGGCTAAATCAAAGAAAGCGATTGAAATCATGATTCGAGTTGTAAACAGTTCACCATTTAATCTGCAGGAAGACGAATCACCAGCGGAGAGTATCTTTGAAACTGTACGTGCCTTGAGCAAACGCTTTAAAGAGGCTCAAGACTGCTCGAAATTTGAATTGTGCAGTTCTTTGGTCCTTTTATTAGCCAGTATTAACAAAACAGTTTTCCCGAAATTCCAAGAAAAACAGTGGCTAAAAGACATCAATGTAGGAGTTAATCAGATATTGCAGTCAAAAGTTTCTTCACAGCAAAGGGATCCTGCAGTTGTTTTGGTCTCATTGGTGACTGAACTTGTGGGAATGGACTGGATGATTGAACCAAATGGACAGAAATCACCAGGGCTTTTTATCTTAAGCGTGACTGTTGCAAGTATTGAGACAAGAATGATATTGGATGGGAAAACATGGGTGGAAGTGAGCCCCAAAGCAGATCTTTTGACCAGTTGTTATAACATCCTGGAGAAAGCAATCAACTTTGTTATTGTGAACACTGATATAACAAATGATGTGCAGTTGCCTGAGTTTGCGAGCAACAATCTCCCAAAAGTATATTCTCTTGCAACTGAAGCTATTCATTCCATCATCCAGTTCCTGGGAAATGTCATCTCCATGAAGGACAAAGAAATAACAGATGTGAAGCTGCGTGAGCTGGTTTATGCCTCAGTCAGAGTATTGTGTGCATGGATGGCAGAGGAAACTGCTGCGCTGCAGGATAGCATCTGTAAGCTGCTACCATTCCTGCTGAAATTGGGGAAAGAAAGCCTGGATACCTTTTCAGGTATTTACCATAGCATCATAATGATAGTCATATTACTATTTTGAACTCTAAAACATGGAAAAAGGGATCCTTAAACAGAAACTGGAAAAACCCTGACATGAACGGCCTCTGTTTTCAGACATCTCTCGGGAGTTTGTGACTCAAGGAGATGGCTGAAATTCAGGCTAGAATTAAACATGACTTTGCTTATTTACAGTACCGGTCAAAAGTAAGTTGACAGTCACTCGGGTCTCTATCCTTGAGACTTGATTCTTGAAACTTTCGAGGATGGAGTCTTGAGTCTCGATGATCAGGGATCAAGTTTTTTCAAATTTTGAGTTGAGAAATACTATGAACTTGTCGTGTAGACTTACCTTTTATTTTAAAAAGGACCGTCCTGTGCCTTTTGTGAGACTCGTTTGCTTTCATGTAAACGAAGCTTGCTATTTGAAGGCGAAAACGTTCACTTATGGTCTCCTGTTAAAAGTCCTTTGGAAACTTGCTTTTTAGAAGTAGAGGTATACATGTATGTAAGGTAAATGTACTAGCGGTGAAAATTGATCCGCCGTTTGAAAGTACCATATTTATTCGGCCAGGTAAATCGAAAACACCCGGCTATAAGCCGAGACCCATTCGTTACAAGACTTTTAACTACTGTAAAACTTAACAATTTCCAAAGAAATATGACCTTCTCTAGGAAAACGTTCAATTGTTGTTTGGGTTTTTTGCTGCTATCAATCTTTCCTCGTGTCTTCAGGGCGCAAAGTAACGGCCGGTCGACGGACAATGTCCGGCCTGATCGTGGTCTTGACCGGTCAAACTCTCGTCTTGCCGTTCATTTTCACCGGTCATTTTTGGATGCGAACACAGGGCTCAAAGTTAGCGACTAACTGGTCGCATATGCGACTGGATTTTTGGTTGTGCGCCTAAAAATTCATGTGTAATCGCACCTGTGCGCCGTAAAACCCAAAGCACAGTGCGACTGACTTACTTCCGACTATACTTACGAACTCGAGCTAGAAAGACGGTGTATGTTTAATTGGTCTTTTCTCCCAATGGATTCTACGAACTCGAATGTTCTTTTTCGTTTCGATGTTTTACTCCATCCCAGACTCTTCTGTTTTGTAATAAACACCACTGACACATGCAAATATACGCTACGAACGAAACACGTACTTTTTGCGCAATGGACGATCATGTCAAACGTTCAGTTTTAACGTCAATCAAAACAAAAACAGTGCGGATTAAGAGCCTTTTTTTCCACGTAAGACAGTTTTTTAAGTCGTATTCCAGTTACATGTAAGTCATTGCCCATTTAACAAATTCATTAAAGATTAATTTTCATTCGCGTTCGACACACTCATTGTTGTCAGTTTTGAATTGTTTTTCAAGTGTAAGTTTCTTTAGTCACAACTGTACTGTCAAAAAGAGAAATTAGTATTAAAAATTACAACGGTATTACTGCGTAGCAAATCGGCTGTGTTTTATTAATCACAGGACTGAAGGAAAAGTAACAAACTGAAGATGACAAATAAACGTGGCAGTGTTAAGCTTTTTACTTTTCTTTTGAAATAGATGCTCCCAACATTATAAGCTGTACTCCTAAAATTTTCAGCTGTGCGCCTAAAATTGCGGCAGTGCGCCTAAAAATTTACATCTGGTAGCACAAGCGCTCCCAAACTCAAATTTAAACTTTGAGCCCTGGAACATTTATCATATTTTCCATATAGTTGTCCCTTAATGCATTTTGCTCTATAATGCTGTAATGATTTCTTTTTTCTTTGGCTTTTTGTTGTAATGAAACGCAACAAAGCGAAACAGTAACAAACTGAGTTGTGGAGTAATGCAATGATTCAGCAGGATGTACTGTACGTTCTGCTTTGCTGTGACCAGTAATGTGACCTTCTTTGGGAAAACATACACTAAATGATAATCCATTATTTGTCAGAAAACTAAAAGATAGGTAACAGGTTTTGTCCATCAAACGTTTCACATGTACTTGTAAGAGGATTGTGAAAGTCACCTTTAACGGAATTCGGGTAAATTGATCGCTCATCCTCAGGGTTGTCACTAAGATTTCATGTTGCCGGGTAAATACTACAAGTAGGAATCAAACGGCTAGGGATTTCTTTTGGTTCTATTTTTCTCCTATTTTCCAATAAAAGTAGCCGGGGGTAATCCCCGGCCCCCGGCTCTTAATGACATCCCTGCATCTTGTACTGTTTCTCCGGGGATAAATTTCAGCGCCTCAATTAATTATAATACTTTCTTCACGTCGAACATGAATCTCGTTTGCTGACTCGATTCCAGAATTGTCTGATAAAAACCAAGCTAATTGAGAACGAACGTCGCCTATCTCAGCGCTTAAAATCCTGCTTCTTGTAAACAGCTTTATGCAAATTGCTGTTGACGACACTAATGAGCCTTTTGCGATAAAGTGTTGCGTGACGACTCAAACAAAAGCTCTGCTGTATATTTATTGACTTCTAATGATAAGACTGAGGAAAACAGGGGTTACATTTGGTGTTAAGTTTCTTTCAAGAAGCTCTTTTTTTAGCTCGTCATCAGCACACTGTTTAGTTTTCGGCTTTGTTTGTAATTGACATTTGACACTGCACTTGATCATATGTTTTGTACGCCAAAACGTGAAAACCGCTTCCACTTTCCTTGATTTTTTGAATGAGCAAACCACCATGAGAAGACTGCAAATCACTAGGGATGAGTTTCACCAAAAAAAATTGTCAGCTCTTTTGATATGTGTGGTTATCGTTCGCGCGTAGCGGCAACTTGTCAACGAGATCTCAACATCAGTAAACATAGGGACGTTAAACATGCATGAGCTATTTTGAATGCTTCAGTGTAACTTTAATGCTTCAGTGTAACCTTACCAAGAGTGATGAATCTACGTTTTTCGTCCTAAATGTAGACTGGGTTTTTGTGCGAAATTGAGCATTGCCGTAAATAAATGAAAACGCGAAACGCTCAGCTGCGTCGATCCTTATGCTACTTTCCTCTGTCTTTCCCTGTTACATTTGGTGCAATTTAAACAAATTGTTAAAGTAAAATATATGTCTACTCACCAAACGTTGATTAGAGGGAAAACTCTAAGGTTTCCTCGGAGTTTCTTAAGCCAAAATGTAACTCATCGAATTCGAGTAGTTACGAAATACCAGGATTTTTATCATTGTGGTATATGGTTGTATCATCACAATTCACGAGGTTTTCACATGCGATTCTACTCAGTGAAACAGTGTTTAACTCTGACAACTTATTTCTTCATGTTTTAAAAGCTATTGCTTCTTAACAGACAAGAGCCTTTTTTAAGGCATTGGTTACAAAACAAAACAGGTCTTCATACGTTCAAGTCACTATTACTATTGTGAAAAGCCAATGTGCATGAGATGTACAGTCACACAACTGGCACGTGAAAGTGTTAGACTTTGCCCCCTTTCGTGGTTCGTACGTGAGGGAATTCGAGTTATCACACAGTAATCGAGTAAACAGAATTATAAAAATAACTCATGCACACAATTTGCACGTGAAGATGTTGGTCTTTGACCCTTTTACAATTCGTACTTAAAAAAAACGCAAATTGTTTACTACAAAATTTTCTCAAACGATTTTAAGAAATCACCTTAGCTTCATTACAACAGCTGCAATTAAATTATGTTTCATGCAACGTCAAGGTTGATAGCCTAACAATTATTAACGTCCAAGAAAATTATCAAACTGCCGAAATATATTTCTGCTCATATCATGTTACTCCACTCAATAAAGCAGTACCTAATTATTGTGTCAACTAGCTTCTTCCAATTTTATTCCCTAACGCTACTGTTTCTACTTAAGTTTATACGCATCTTTACAAAATAAAATACGTTTCAATAACTATAATGCTTAGTATGCAGGAAGGATGTATCATGTTGTTCACTTATTATTCCTTTTTGTTGTTGTTTTGCCGGAACGAAAAAGGTCTGTTGAACTTTGTGAGCGAGAGAATAATATTTCTACAGCTTGTTTAGAGGATTAACAATACTCGGTACAGCTTTAAAAAAAATAAGCTGCTTTTCAAACTTCTAAAACCACATTTTATAGGCCGCATACTTTCGAATTAAAGTCCATATCTAAATATCAATTATTGCTTCACTGGAAGAGCTTTGAAAATATATGATCGTTTATACTCTACCTTGAAGCAGGTGAAACACAACTAATAAATACGTGCGTGGTACCGTTCGCGATAGCCGAATTCGGTCAGAAATGTCTTGAAGTAGCATCCACACTAAAATATGAACCCTTAAACAGCTGCATCACTGTACACAGCGTTTGAATCATGAAGATATTTAATATAATGTTTCCAAACACCTGTAGCCGTAATAAGAGACAAACAAATTGTAAAGAATCAAGATGGCGGTCTTAAAGTGCCCTTGTTCGACCTTTAGCAATGTGATTTTTAAGTAGATGCCAGGATCTCATTGGTTCCTTAGCATCAACTCATAGTACCTTCAACCTTATTGGCTCTTGCAACAAACATCCGAACATACAAAGTTACAAAGATACAAAGATACAAAGATACAAAGATACAAAGCCACAAAGATACATACTCTCACACCACTGACATATCAGCTATTTTTTTCAAAATAGCTCAAAAATTCAACTTGGAGTACGATCATGAAATAATGTTAGCTTAATAAATTTGTTCTATATAGCTTTTTTAAACAGTCACTTCTTGATTTATGAAAGAGAGTTGTCTTGAATTTAACAAATTACAGCGGCCAAACAAGTCCATTTGTTATTTGTTTTACGTGTAGCAGCAACTTTCGCCGACGAGATATCATCAACATCAGTAAAAATGCAACTTGGCGTTCGAGCACGAAATATTGTTAGCTTAACCCTTTAAGCCCCAATTTCCACATACAAATTCTTCAACTGGTCTTTATACATTTCCTTATAAGGATAAGTTGAGAGAATTTGATAAAAGATCAAAGCATTTTCTGTTAGGTGATAATTTTATTAATTCTCATAACTTTATCTCTTGACCTTGTATGGATATTATTAGGACAAAATTGATGTTGGTCACTATTGGGACTTAAAGGGTTAATAAATTTGTTCTATACAGCTTTTTTAAACAGTCACTACTTGATTTATGTCTGTTTGTCAAACTCCGAATTTTGTGACAACTGTTTTTCTGATTTCTGCCAGACTTGTTAGCCTGTTCGTACATTCCTTGTGACTTTCTATTGTTTGAATGAAACGAGTTTGAAACTTTTATTAGTACTCAAATGATCTTGTGTAAGAGTGCCCCTTCAGCAAAGAAAGTTTCCGGTGACATCAGCTAGATTTGCACAAAAGCAAGTTTTATAAATTAATTAATTCTAAGCTGCATTTACACGAACGAGTTTGAAACTTGACTAATGGAAAACTTATCAACTCAAACGCTTATGAAAATGTTGCTTTTTAGGACAAATAAAGTTTTCCGTCAAATTATTGTGTGACTTTATGTAGATTTACATACGCTAAAAGCGCGACAAGCCACGGAATCGCTGCCGAGATGTGTTTTTGAATTTTCTTGGCAAGTGAAAGGCTACATGTTACATGTACGAAATCATTTTAAGCCGCATTTACATGAAAGAGTTTAAAAGCAAATTTACCGAGTTGACTCAGATACTCGTAAAAATGCCACTTTTTAAGGTATCTGCACAGGCAAATTTTGCACATTTTTGCATCATTTTTAGTGGTTGTTTTATGGATAATATCTATATGTCACTACATTGACAGTATTCCTCAGTTCTTGAGGAACTAGAATATATCAAAATAAAGTATGTTATGTCACCCAAAAGGTGTTAATTTAATTACCCCCTAGGGTGACACGGAAAGAGAAAAATTAAAATTTCAGAAGAATCCTTAGAGTTATTGTTAAAAAAGAAATGTAACACAAATAAGGACGTAAGATAGAATAATTCTGTGTTTGACTACGACACAGCTCCAATTAATCCAGCCTCTAGGGCACAATTTGCTATTTTGTAATTTGACCCATATTTTGACATCAATAACTCAGCTGTACGGCAATTCTAACCTTTAGTCAAACACAGATCTGTTCATTAACATGCTCTTTGTATATTTGCCAAATTTCACAAAGAAATAATGATCCATTCCTCCAAAAACTGGTTCCGTAAGTCAAGGTAAATCGGTCCTTGTGGTAATTAACGCTTTTCCAGAGTGAAAAAGCTTATTTTCCTCTCAAAATCAACTGTTTTTCCTCGATACTACCATCACAGACCTTCTTGCCCGCCATTTTGAATCACCGCTGTGTAAAATGCTCGTGGAAGCCTAAGAAAATGCCAAATGACCTCTCTATAGCCCCCTTGGATTTTGATACGTGACCAGTTGCTAGGTGTGACGTATTTCCGGAAGATTCGTTACTCAGTGTCAGCTTTAATGCAGTGAAGCGCGCCGAAGTATGAAGATTGAAGAAGAGTTTTATTCAAAATTGAAAAGAATTGCTTCTGTAAAGTGAAAGAAATTGGCAGAAAAATAGACCAGAGGATTAGGGGCCAAGAAAACGTTTTACTCTCCCGGCAAAATTGTCAGAATATATCAGGTGAGAAGACACACCGATGTAATGTAAATTTAAAACAATATTAAGCCCTGGAAAATGGAGTATATTTCAAGAACATAACGAATTTTGACAAGAAGCAAGTACTATTAGTCATCACAGCTTTAACAGAAGGAAGAAAAATCAAGTTGGACATACAGCGGCTGTAGTTTGTCAATGAATCCAAGCAGTGAATAGATTTTGTTCAGCGCATCAATAGAACTTGATGCTGGAAAGAGGAGTCAAATTGCGCTCCTGCCGTCCATTTTCTTAGTAACGGAAATGACACTTTTTCTTTAACTTCCGGTAAATCAGTCAACTTTTGAGTAGATTTTCTCTTTAATGCGAAGGTATATTCAAAAAAGAACACCAGATATGCATATTACATCATCTGAACTTACTGTAGAAAGATTTTGAGTGCAAAATAAAATGTTGAAAATTTGCCTGTGCAAATACCTTAACAAAGATAGTTCATCTTATAAATCTTTATCAAGAGCTCAATTCAAAGAATTGCGAGCCGCACCGTTCATCTGTGAAAATCTAGGAGCATGGTGAGCAAAGGCTACATACAATGTACATGCAGAATCTCTGAAACAGAAAATATCGATTTACACTTATTGAAAGCTTCCTGAAGCTGGCAGTTCAAACAGTTACAGAACACCGCACCACAAGCACTGATCGGTGGTGTGAATTTTTGAACGTCTACATGACTGTACAACATTGTTCTTTTGGAAAAAAAATAATTTCATGTATAAACCTTGCTTCTCAAACCTCAAAGCTGGAAACTTGAGACTCAATCCTCACATCTCGAAACTCGAAGCATTTGTGCTTTGAGACGCAAGGATTGAGTGTCAAGTTACTTTTGAGGTACTGTATTTTCATTTTCCAGAGTTTCAAAGTCTGTGAAAGTTACACTTGGTGGTTTCTGATATTAGTTATTCAGCTTTATCTGTGCCTTTCTATTTTTGTTATATGTTTTGTGTTAATTCTAAGATGGCTTGCAAAAGGGTCTTTTAACACAATTCAGGGCTATCACTAACTTCAAAGTCAAACCTATACAGTTCAGCTGAAAAGTATGTTGACAGTCTCGACTGGAAACTGGATTCTTGAGTCCTTGTATTTCTCTATGAATTCTTTCTTGTGAACTATGAGATGTTTTATTTTAAGTGCACATGAAATGTGTGAAGGTAAGTAAGCTTTTAAAATTGTGTTTGTGACAGCGTAAATGAATATGATCTTTAATTATGATAGCCGCCGTGAATTTTTTCTCAAAAACTTCAACGTTTTGGCAAGCCGTTGATGAATTACCAGAAAACATATAACATAATTAGCAAGGTATCTGTAAAGGTGACAGAAAAGGCTGTAAGAAATATCTATATACCTGTACCTATTTATAGTGAGATGAAAAATGCCAACATGGAAGTAAAATTTGCATATGTCGTGTGCAATTGGCAACATTTTAACAAATACAGCAGCGACTGAACATTTCTAAAGGCAAAAGTCATGATTACTGAAGGTTTGTCCAAGACTTTTTCATTCAAGGTCATTTTTAGAGGAAACTTGCATGAACTGCATTGCAGCGGAAGAATTACAAGACATTTGTGCTTGTTTGTGTACTTTTTATTGGTGATAATTTTTAGCCAGGGGCTGATAAATAAAAGTTGACATTTTTGTTTTAAAAGTGCTGAATGAGCAGGGAATTCTAGCTGCTGTTTTTTGCCCATTAAACAGGCAAACATGTTTCAAACGTGCAAACTTTGTTTCATCACATAAGAAAGAGAGGCTTGCAAAAGCTGTTTGTCACAGTCCGCAGCATGTACTTTGTGATCCTTTTAACCAGAGGGCAGTCTATTTGATGAATTTCTACCTCAAGAGATCAGTCAAGCAACAAGCTCATTATATTTCTCAAATCAGCTCTCGACTCTCAAAGCCTTGTGACCTCGGGTCAAAACCTCAAGTCTTGTGACACTGGATTCTCGAAAGTTGCGAGATTTGAGAATCGAGTCGCGAGAATTGGGATGCGAGGTACTGTCAACTTACTTTTGAGCAGTACTGTATTACTTGCTGACACGATGCACTGGTCCTGATGTTCACATGAAATGCATCAAAAATAAAAACATTTTACAGTTCTGTTCACAAGTTAGACCTAATACCAAAATACACAGACTAGATTTTTCTGCAAAGCAAGATAAACAACCTTTCCTTTTTCTTTTTTGTTGTCTAAAAGCTTTTGCTCATTACAGAGGTATGTGCATGTGGGTGCTGACGGGTGATATAAATGGTTATTGTTTGTTTCTTGGAGAATTGAACTGTTTTCTTTAAGTCTTTTTCAGCAGTGAATTTTCGAGAATCCTGGCTTGTCGAAATTCAAATTTTTCTTTTTTGCTTTTTTTAACAATACTTTTCTTACCTATTGGCTTGTTTCCCTTTACTGATACTGCTACTCTTTTATAGCTTTGCAAGATGTTGTAATAAACATATTCCTAGTTAAGTTGGGAGTATTGAGTCACGACAGTCAACTCACTTTTGAGTTGTACTGTATGCAGTGCAATTTTCCACTATTATTTTACAAATTTGCATCTGCACTCTGCTTATAACCTTACTTCCGTAATCTGCTTGCTTATGCCATGTAAACTGCCCATCCTAGGAGATATGCTATTAGAATGAAATTTACTTAACCTTATCACTATCTGATTGGTTACTTAATATTTTGAGGCTATCAGCTATGTTGAAGTATGTTTACATCCTAAGTGTGTTTTACCATTGGCTTGTTAAAGCCTGCCAGACCCCACGTATGCTACTATGAGGGGTGGTCTAGATTTATATTGATGCAAGTATCAACATCCAGTATTATATCTGAAGCACTTACTGAAAGTAAATTACAAAAAGTAATTTAATAAAAATAAAAATAAATAACTCAATTAAAAAAATGCAATAAAAGACTTTATAATAATCTGTATAGTAAAAGAAATCTATTGAACTGAAAGCTGTTTTAAATATATTAAACTCATTCAAGCACTAGTAGTGTTCCTTGAAGAACTAAATTGATTCTTGAGTAAATGCGGTTGTATTGACTTTCATTCTTTAGAAATTGTTGTTGATGCCAAATCCGATACATCAGAAGACCAACACGCAAGTACTTCTAGCTCCGTAAGTACTGTAAATGTAAGGGATGTAATAGGTAACAGGCTTAATCAAGTTGATATTATGAGGTTTCTATTGCCACCGCTATGCCACCTTTCAGCTGATGACAAAACACGCAAGATCTTGATTGAGAATGGTTGTCTTGAACTGCTATCAAAGTACTTTTTTCAACAGTGGAAGATTTGGAATGAGAAACAAGATAATGACACAAAGTTACATGATTCCAAAACGTGCCTTGTTACTTTGCTTGGCATTGTATTAAATATTGTTGTCACTGAACCGAAACTTGTAGTTTCCAACCATACGCTGAAACAACTTGGCCAACATGCCATACTCTCCACTCCGCTACTGCTTCCCACAGAAGCAGATGTTGTGATTCTAGTTAATCAAGTTGTGCTTGGCCTCTTGTTCATAAGAAGCAGTGTGGAACATAATGATTCTTTCACATGTGATGGATTATGGAAGTTTTTACAGACTTCTATTCAGATCTTAAAAGAGGCAAAACCATTGATGCAGAACAGAGGAGGTCAATTTGTTGAACAGAAAAAAACCCAGCTTGCTATCAGATGCAAAGAAGCATGGTCGGAAATCTCAGAATTGTGGTTTCTTGGTTTGCAAGTAATTTCAGTGCTAGTAAACTCATTGCCTGTTGTCAAAGAGCTTTTGGAGGAAAGTGGGTGGATGGACATGATCATAAACATTCACAGCTATGATCAAGAACTGACTCTAGAGGAAAAAGATGCACTTCTTGATTTGGGTCAAAAAGTAAACAACTTTTAAATTTGGGAGGTATTTTATTTTGCATAATGCTATCTTGGACCTGTTGGTAATTCAAACTCTCAATGAAAAAAACAACAACCAGTTAGTTGAGTTAGCAGGACTTCGAATGACCAGAGACAGTTAAATATTCAATTTGCTGTATTGAAAATTTAGTATTCAGTGCAGTGCAAATAGAACTTACCTAACCAGAATTTGTAACTTGATTATGCGTCTGTATGATAATAGGGTAAAATAACTGTAAAATACATGATATGTTTGTTGCTCTAATTAAAATCAAATCGTGGTAGTGTTAGTTTTGGAGTTTTTATATATCACATGACAAGAAGAACTAATGGGATAGCAGCTGTAGTGAAATGCAACAACCAGAATTTGAGTTTTCCTGGTAAATTTGGTGAAGGGAAACAATATTTAGTTTAAGTTAGCTGGGATCAAGTAAAATGACTGAATGGTGGGTTCAAGTGCAAGGGAAATGCAGAGACCGTGGAGACCATTTTAAAGTGGTAGGGCTAAAAAATCTTGCCGATACAAAGAAACATTAAGTTCAGTGTTTTGCCATTTATCTTACATTTTGGGTAGACTACAAGCAGTCTCTCTTTTCTCTTGGTCCATCGATCAAAACGCCCAAGACAAGCTCACAGGTGCGTGCACTCCCCTTACCGCCTTGAAATCTGAATCAGTCTAGCATTTGCGCACCATGTTATTTACAGCCTCAACAAATATAACATAAACGTTGTCGCGTGTTATAGTATCCAGTGTAGCCAACATGTTGAATAAACCTTCCTAAAATTGCTACTTTGAAGTTGTTAGCAGTGCCGAAATTTCTCTTGTGGTCTTCATTGCTGGAAACAAACTCCTGTGCAACGTCAGCTATAGAGACACTGTCTGTTCTCGGCTAAACCTCTCATCACCCATCCTGGATCGACGCCACGTCTTCAGACGCCGTACGTACGGATGAGAATGAACCCTCGCCAGCGGCGCTGCTAATAGGGTTTACAGCAAGCAGCTTACAGATAGTTTAACTGACTTCCTGAATTAGCTTCTTTTCTGGTTCTGGAAACTTTAACACCGCCAACAGGATTTCGTCAAAACATGATATCTTCTCCTTCCTCCATAGTACTTAGTTGCCTAGGTAGCGCCCCTGTATCACAACATCTTCCCTGTATTATGCTTCAAGAAACTGAACTCTGCCTGATAGTCATCACAATTAGCTATAGCAGCTTTAAGCAAGGGGGTCTCCATCTGGGCTTAAGAGCTGAAGCTTTCCTGATTAACGAGCTGATAGATAGCCCTGACTATAAGATCAATAGCCTCATAATAGGCCCGTATAAAGTGATCTTTAGCAGTTTGGGGATACCTTGGGGCACGAGCACCAACCTCCGGTCTGGCCGGAGAGTGTCTTTTCAGTGTTCTCACCAGGCCGCGGCCTTGCGGGATTCCCGCGAGAAAAACTGAAATGGCGCATTAAAACCAAGAAGATGCGCCCGTTAGGGCGCAGGGGCAAGCTACGAGTCAAACGGACTTAAGTAGTTTTAATGGTCAACCTAACACTAAAGCATTCTGTTTGTTTGAATAAATAAAAAACATGATACCAAATGAGTCTCAGTCTTTAATTTTGTTGCCTTTACTTTCGTTGGTCCCACACACGTCCCACTACATCGTAAACTCCTCCTCCGAATCGTAAACACCTCTTCCGCCATATTGGATCAGGTAGGTACTTCATGTAACAGACAATTTGGAGTGCGGGCTCAGGCCCCCTAATGTTCTTACAGGGCCCCTATTTCTCAGAAGAGGGGGCCCTGGGACTCCCCAAGGCAAAATCCTGGTGAGAACACTGCTTTTTCTTGGAAGTGTTGGTTCGCCGAGCAGGCCTTCACTCTTACGGGCAACATTAGCATAGAAATGGTCGAAGCTTTGATCAATGCAAATTTTTGTGAGCGTCCCCTTTGTTAGATTTGCCAGGCGTTGTCCACTGACAGCAGCCATCTTAGTACCCTGAAGATCCTTAGATAGATTATTGGTGTCGCAATAAAGGTGCTCTCCAAGAGAGAAAAAGTCAAATCACTCCATTTGGGCCTTACGTCTTATTATCCTTGCACGCACATCGGGTTGTAATTGTTCTGACAAGCAAACATCCCACTCTTCCATAGGGCAAAGTCCCATAATTCCACGGAAATTTTTTCCATGTCAACTGAGTCCTATGAAATAAATCCCAGCAATAAATAGCCCTACCAGCCCCTCCCCCTCTGCGGTCCCTGAAATGAGACTTCAGTTCAAGTTAGCATGAAAGTGCAAGTTATCTGGGTTTGAATTACCAGGGTTCAAAAGTATAGTTGAATTTAGGTTCCATACCTGTGTAAAGTGGGAGCCTATTTAAAACAGAAATCACCACCATTTCTGAGCAGTGTTGGTAAAACTGACATACTGACTTGAAATACGTGAAAGAAAAAAAATGTTAATCATGATTTTGGATTCTTATTCTCTTCTTCGTTGTCGTTATTTACTTATTCCCACATCTTTAGTTGATATTGTTAACAATAGCAGACGTGTGAGCATGAAGCCTTTTCAGTTTAAGCACATTTTATTCTCTATCTCTAAATCCTAACTCAAATGACATAAATGACAATCTACATGACTCGCATGAGGTGTCTATCAAAAAGTGATTACTTATCGACAAATTGATCAAATGGGCAAGTCCAGAAAATATCCATACCCAACCACGGACGGCTTCCATGTTTTAACCCCCCCCCCTTTGCCTTCGGAAATTCCAAAATGCGTTACCCCCCCCATGCCTTCAGAATTCTATAATCATGACCCCCCCCTCCCCTTCAGAATTTCCGTTTTTTTTAAGCACATTTTCGACTTAGCAATGCCTATATGAACAAACGAACGTGAATTTATGCCTCCTCAAGACTGCGATCTAGGGGTGCTAGGTGACAAGCTTTACTCTTCAGCGACAAGAAAAACCTACCGCTACTGGCTAGGCTGTGCAAACTCCTTTTTAAGTCTGAATTTGGCTATAAACATAAACACCACTTACGGTAATTTTACTCCTCTTTGTTTTCTTGTGCTGTTTTGACGTTTACAATGCAAAATAGTTCAAATTCAGACGACGGTCCAAATGCTTAATAATCTGGCAGGCGTTCCTTGGAAGGAAGGAACTGGTGCGAGTCTTTTACTGTTCATCGGACGGGAGTAACAAGCGGTAAGATACATCTTCAGTTTTTATTAGAAATCCCACCTGTGGAATTCCCCCATGCCTTTGGATTTCCAATCGTAAATACCCCCCATGCCCTGAGGATTCCATAATCGTGAACCCCCCCTCCCTTTCCGAAATCATAAAAGCAGTCCATGGTATAGGTATGGATATTTTCTGGAATCACCCAATGTCGACTAAGAAATGAGATGAAAACTAATGAAGAAAATAAAATCATAACATAACAAATGAGAATGGGCATGGAAGAGGCTGTCTTGGCCCACGTCCGTCCCTTCTTTGAATGGTTATGGGCACATCTAGTGAAGGGGGTTGGGGGGGGGGGGGTGGTTGTAGACTCGAGGTAAACGGGTGCTTGTCAAACCACCCCATAGCAAGAAGTTGGTCATTACAGTGCTAAAGGTACTCCCCTCGATTCATCATTCATCTCCTTGTGACTTGATATTGTAATGACTACCTCCTCTGGAAAACCCTTATGATTTGGTCTTATTGTGCCGCATGCATGGGTTTTGTTCTCAGTGGAGTTCACAGGGATGTGCTAGGTAGACTGTAATGGGATCTTATTTAATTCTCGGTACCCGTGTTGTGTTACGCGCTAGTTCAATGTTCATAAAGGTTCAATTGACCAGAAGGATCGCTTTCTTCCAACTTCTTTATTCCTTTGATCTTTACACTGAAGTGAAGCGGTCAACTGAAATGATGACGTTAAGAAATAGTCTAAGTATTGTTACGTTCACAGCCTGATCATAATTATAATTGCTCAATGCGCACGTGGTACATGTAATGAAACTTAACAGCACAAGAAACTAGCGACAATCTCAATGTAGAATTACAGACTAATAAACTATCAAACTAAATCAAGTGTAAATTATTTCTCACCAACGTTCGCGGGTAATCACGTTCCGAAAATTTCCGTTTTGATGTACAACTTTTCTTTGATCTTTCTCACAAGGGGTCTTAGATGAAACTGAAATGCGAGCTACATATATGCTTAACTAAAAGCGTCACTAAAGTTACGTCAATCAAATCTGAAATAATTTCACAGCTTTACCGGAAGCTGTTACATGGCTCCCCTAAATTAATTCTTTAATTTATCGTAATTTTGTGCTAATTTATTGCAAATAAGAACAGAAACTTCCTTATTGGTCGGCTTATTAATGGTTTTAAAGTCCAAGGTCCATTAATACTGGATTCTCTTGTTTTCCATTGTGATGGCTCCTCGATGGGGATTCCCCGGTCTTTACTCATCTTCTGCAGACATCAGCAGCACCAGTTTGTGGATAGGCCTTTCCAAAGTTGCTAAGGGCTGGCTTCTCTTTCCGCTCAATGCTAGGTTCCGGTTGCCAACTTCAAGCTTCACTATGCGTACCAGTCCATCTTCATCCGGCAGAGCCTCAACAACACAGCACACTCTCCACTGGTTTCTAGGTACATCATCTTCCTTAATGATAACGACATCATTTACTTGGAGATTTTTCCTGGGTTTGGTCCACTTTTGTTGTTCTTGCAAAGAAAGGAGAAATTCCTTTTTCCACCGAAGCCAGAATTCATTTGTGAGGTGCTGCACACGTCGCCACCATTTCTTTGAGTAGAGGTCGGCAGACTTGAATATCCCTGGCGGAGGTACCACAACCTTTGTCTTCAAAGTAAGGAAGTGATTTGGGGTCAGCGCTTCTGCAGATCCTGGTGATGTGATGCTTTCTGCTGTTAGGGGTCGACTATTAACCACTGCCTCTGCTTCGCACATGAGGGTACGTAAAGCTTCATCATTCATTTGCTGACCGTTGCTTTCTAGCAGGGCTGAGAGCACACTCCTAACGCTTCGAATCTGGCGCTCCCAGATTCCACCCATGTGGCTGGCACAAGGGACGTTAAATTTGACTTCAAACCAATCACAGTTTTCTTTCAACATCCCTACTTTCACTTGATCTCGATCCATTTCGGCTAGCGCTTCCTTTAATTCTCTTCGTGCTCCAATGAAGTTCGAACCATTGTCGCTACGCATCTGGCGCACGGGACCACGCCTGCATATAAAGCAGCGAAGAGCGTTAATGTACGAGTCCGTTTCCAAAGAGTTGGCTACTTCTAAGTGAATCGCTCTTGTGACTAGACATGTGAATAGCGTCCTTCTTTCACGTGCCAAGGGCCAAAATAGTCCACTCCACAGTATGTAAAAGGAGGGGTGGGTGTTAGCCTGTCCTTTGGAAGATCCGCCATTTTCTGCTCTTGTACCTTTGCTCTGAGTCTCCTACAGGTAACGCATTCGTGGATCATTCTAGGGACCATTGTACCACCACCTATGATCCAGAAGCCTGAAGACCGGATCTCATTGAGGGTGATCCCCTTTCCTTGATGCAGGGCTTTCTCATGGCAGTGACTGGCTAGGGTCTTGGTGATGTGACCTTGTCCTGGTAGGACAACAGGGTGCTTTGTGTCTTGCGATAGGCTTGCTTGTCTGATGCGACCACCAATTCTCGCCAGATCATTCAGATCTAGAAATGGATCTAAACGAAAGAGTGGGCTTGATCCCTTTGCTTCTCCTCTTGTGGTCG